TGTCAGCCATGGCCCATGCCCTCCTCCTTAATGATTGGTTGCTTAGCTGTGGCAGTGTCTACAGAAATTAAAGTTGACAAGAATGAAATAGAGGACGCCCGCTGGTTCACTAGAGAACAGGTAAAGTTCAATTTAATTTCCTTCTTCTATTGATTGTTCTCTGACTGTATTGGTTTAGGCATGCAGCAAGGATACATGATTTCAACACGGGGAGTGAATGGCTGTGGCCCTCTCATCATGCATGGATTACAGTGTAATCGATGTGTCCTGTGTTACATCCTGTGACATTCTTCTAGCGATGATGATTGTGTGCCGTTTTCTAATTTCAAATGCTGTTCCTTCAGATTAATGATACCTTTCAGTTGACTTAAAATAGGTAAACATTTCAGAGATGAGAAACAGTAATAGTATTCTTAGACATTTTATATTTTAGTTTATAACTTTAAAACAGCTATCTCTCAAAAAATATCAGTAAAAATGCTTTGAATTTGTGAAAGCTCTTGTTCATTTTAAAATATACTAAAGCACAAGAATGACAAAACTGCATAACAAAGACATTTTTTAAATGTCATCATTTAGTAATATAATGAGAGAGAAATTACTCGTCTGTGTTATGCACGACCCAGAGTATTTGTATGGAAAACAAATAGATACACTACAATACTGAAGACCTGAAATATTTTCTGACTTTGTCTAAGCAAAATTCATTGTATTTTATGCTCAACTTCAAAAAGTAGAAATTCGATTTTTTTTTTCAGAATTTTATAAAATGGAACCTGTCCCAAAAGTTGACTTCACTTCGAAAATAAGTGTGGAGCATGTACCTTGCTTTACCGTGAACTTGTTTCCATAAGGGAATATGCCTTTGTGGAATATTTTAAAAATTGAATCACTAACTCATTGAAGCAACTAAAGACACTATACTCACTTTTGCATGTTGAATACGGATGTTGTCACTTTCTACTATTGTTATTCATGTAACAGGCATCACATTTTAGTTGAATCGTATGAGCATAGCAATAGTGTTTAAGTATGACAGTACTGAAATCCTAATACATTTTATTATGGTATATT